ATAGGAGCAAATGTCTCAAGATAGTCAATACCATACATCTGAGTGTAGCCCTTAGCAACCAGCCTAGCCTTAAACCTCTCAATAGATCCATCAGAGTGATATTTAATGGTAAACACCCATTTACAACCCACTGGTTCCTTCCCTTAAGGCAAGTCAACAATATCCCAGGTATGGTTCTTAGGCAAAGAATCCAGTTCAGCCATCATAGCATCCTCCATTCAGGTTTAGATAAGGCTTCCGGTACGGACCTGGGTATCACATGGGAAGAAACAGAAGCAAGGAAAGATGTAGATGGGTTAGAAGAAGGCTGACCTGTTACCTCAGTAATGATGGGAGGAGCAAGAGGCTCTTCTGTAGGAGTGGAAACAACCTGCCCATGTCTGAATTTGTGCTTCTGGTACCATTTGGAGAACAGGATGGGGAGGAATTATAGGAGAATGAGGTGGAGGAGGAGGAGGAATAAGAATATCGGAGGTAGGTCCAGTGGGAGAAGTAGACACCTCATGATAGGACTCAAGAGGAATGGGAAGAGGAACAACTGGAGACATAACAAAGGGCTCTTCAGATTTCTCCCCCTCAGGAGAAATGCTAAAGAAAGGAGTTAACTCAGCAAATGTGACATCCCGAGATACAAAGCGGGTGCCACTAACTGGATCAAAACAGTAATATCCCTTCTGTGTGGAAGCATATCCCAGAAAAACACATTTACGAGCCTTAGGTTCAAACTTGTGCCTTCGATGACAGTGAATATGCACATAGCAAGTGCACCCAAACACATGGAGAGGAAGAGAAAAAATATCCTCATCCGGGAAGAGAAGGCTAAAGGGGGTTTTGAAGTTAAGGACCCGGGAGGGCATACGGTTGATAAAAAAAGTAGCAGTAAGAACAACATCTCCCCAAAATTTTATAGGAACATGGGATGCAAACAAGAGGGATTTGGCAACTTCAACCACATGCCTGTTTTTCCTTTCTGCCACCTCGTTCTGTTGTAGAGTGTAGGAACAAGAACTTTGAAGAATAACCCCAAAAGTTTCAAGATAGGCGGAGAGGGTTTTCTCAAAATACTCCTTAGCATTATCAAAACAGAATATTTTGATTCGAGCGTTAAACTGTGTGAGGATGAGTTCATGAAATTTTTGCACAATAGCTGGTACTTCATCCCTGGATTTCTTGAGATAAATCCAAGTGTAACGAGAGTAGTTATCAATAAAAAGGATAAAGTACCTGTAACCCCCCATAGTTGGCAAATGATATGGCCCCCACATGTCAGAGTGAACAATATGAAAAGGAGAAAGAGATCTTTTATTGTTTACTGAATAAGAATGTCTACAATGCTTTGCCAGTTCACACGACTCACAATGAAGTGTGAGTCGATGCACCCTCTATATGGGTGTATCGGGGTGCTCCTAATACAATACATATTGGCTGATACAATACAAGGCCACAATTTCCCCATTGTGATTCCGGAATGCTCCCCCTATTCCTGCTCTCCCAGGGTTTCCAAGGGAG